AAATGTACGTATTTTGCGCTAGTCTGTCAACATCATCAGCATCGTTTTCAACATCCCCAGCATCACCAGCAAATCAAGGGCCTTGGCTTCTGCCCCCCCCCCCATGATGATCGAAAAAGTGATGATTCAACTAGGGGCAAGAAGTCTAACAAATAGCGGGGGGGGGGCCCCCCCCCATGATGATTCAATTAAGGGCAAAAAGTCTAAAAATAGCCGGGGGGTTGAGGTGAGGGGGGCGGCAGCCCCCCATGATGATTGAAAAAGTGGATCGAAAAATTAGGGGCAAAGAATCTAAAAAGTAGCTGTCGCATCATGATCGAAAAAGTGATGATTCAATTAGGCGGGGGGTGGTGGGGGGCACCAGAGAGGAACTTGCGATGCTGAGGATGCAGGAAGCTGATTCAATTAAATGCGCGGGGGGGTTGGGGGGGGGGCAGCCCCCCCATGATGATCGCAAAAGTGATGATTCAATTAGGGGCAACAAGTCTTAAAAATAGCCGGGGGGTTGAGGGGGGCGGCAGCCCCCCCATGATGATTGAAAAAGTGATGATTCAATTAGGGGCAAAAAGTCTAAAAAGTAGCTGTCGCATGATGATCGAAAAAGAGATGATTCAATTGGGCGAGGGGTGGCGGGGGGAACCAGAGAGGAACTTGCACTGCTGAGGATGCAGGAAGCCAAGGCCCAAAACCCGCAGCGGAACTGGCAATGCAGAGGATGCGAAATGAAAAGCCACACAAGCCACAAAAGCCCACGTAAAAGCCACAAAAGCCACAAAGCCAAAAAGCCAAAAAGCCACCCCCCCTGAAAAACCAAAAATCCTAAAAAATGGCCCTCCCTTGAAAATCTTTGAGATCCGCCAGGTGCAATTGCGCGGGTCTGCGCGCAAAACTGCGCGCCGCGCAGCTTCGACAAGCTTCTCGCAGGCAACATGGGCGTTGCTGTACAGATTTGCACGCGGGGGTCACTGCTGAATGGTGTTGGTGGCACTGGCTGGCGCCGGGCCGTGTTCGGAGGCGGTCATTGTCGTCTGGGAAAACAAGTTGGCGGGATCAGGCGGGATCCCGATTACGAGATGGACCAGGTTCTTGTCAAGAAACGGCCGACGAGCTTCAGCTTCTGGACCTGGCCACGCGCCAGTCTCTTGCCGAGGCGCTTTCCGCGCCGACCGGTCTTCAGTCGCAACGCCTTGGGACTACTGGTAAGATTCTGCAGAAAACGCCTGACGAGCCTTGGTGCCCGAGCGCGCCTGTGGGCTGAAGCGAGTGTGTAAAGCTGCCCACACCTAAGATTTCTGCTGCAAAGACCAAAGCAGATCGATGCCAAGGGCTGGTCGAGGCGCGCGGGCGGGAGGGGGTGGATCCCAGCTTTCCGCAGGAAAACTCGGCCCCGAAGTGGAAGCAAACGGCTGGCATATCTGACAGAGCAAAAGCAGCAACACTACAAGCCGCTCCGCAGCTGCGAAAGCACAAACTCCAGGTCAGTTCTGCCCCCGGCCTCTGCGGCGGTCTAGTTGAGGGTTTGCTGGATAGAGCTAGAGAAACACACCTGCACAAATGTGTGTATGTCTCTCTCTCTCTCTCTATATGTAGAAATAATTCATACACTAACAAACAACTATAGAAACATATCATATTGTACACATACGGGAAACCCTGACGTTCTTAGCTGTTCGACTGTCGTAAGGTGGCAGCCGCGCTTCCCGGGCATCTTCACTGGCGACCTGGAAGCGAGGCCGGGACGCAAGCGCGGAAAGTTCCCCTCAAGTTCTACGATTCATTCCCCTCAATATTGAAAGTAACAAACCAGTCCTGCATATGGACTCTGAGTTGGAAGAATCCGAGCGTCATTGATTCTCACATCTTCGTTTTCTTGCATTCTGTTGATCGAATCTTGCCATGCTTGTCCCAGAAGGTAACATGCTGAACTCCAGGACAAAACCGCGGAGGGAAAAAAAAAAAACAAAATCCCCCTTTCTTCCCGATGTTGTCCTTGGCGACTCTACATGTGTGCGTGTGTGTTTGCATGTATGCCTGTGTATCTGTGTCTTGTAAAAGCTGGAGGTAAGAAACCCTGTTTACCTACCACAGTGGTAGCTGGAAGCACTTGGATTTCTACGCGCCCGATCCTGCCCCCCAAACACCAACAGTCACCACAATTTGGTTTCTACTATTTTCGTCGGATTAATCCACGGCCCAACATGCGCCTCAAAGGTGGTTGGTGGACATGAGTCCCCCTAAATGATGTCCACCCAAGCCATATCCACGTCTTGCTTCCCTGACTTAGACGAGCCATACACCAAAACCAAGGGCCCGGCCCTGCAACGGCGCTCATCCAGGGCACTTGGTCCACCTGCACCAATTTGGTGAGTCCACCATGCCCCTCGCAAATGGACTGTGGACTGGCCATTTTGTCCGAGCCTTTGCACTCAGTCCTATTGGGAGAATGCGGGGTTGGGAGAAAACAAACACGAGTCTGAGAAGGGCTGGGCCGGATTGTTCAAGATTGGAACCCGTCTGAGTACATGACCCTTTGGGTGCTGGATGGGAACCATAGGATGCATTCAAGAATAGACAACGAACAAGGAGGCGCACAGTTTGCGTGCGACATGAGCCGTGTTCAATGGTATGGGTGCGCTCGAGCTACAGGGGAACCAATTACTTTCACACACACACATATATACGCATATACTCTAGGTAAAAACCATTCCTTCTCTTCCCGAACTTTGGCGCGACCCAAATACACGATGGACAGCTTGGGAAATCTATGAACGTTTTGTCACTACGCGCAAAGACTCGCCCTAAACCAAGGGCCAAGCCCGTTTTTTGGCCCGTGTATATAGCCTGATTTTTTTGGGTTCCAGCAAGGTTTTGATCGAAGTTATAGAAACATCACGAGCGGCTGGAGCTGAAACGTGCTTGAAAATCAATAAAGCTTCATGAAGTGCAGTGGCTAGAGCTCAGGGAAGAATGCTTGGAATGTCAACCGTTGCCTTTGGGTTGGTTAAATGGCAACAAAAACCCAGGCCCTTTGACCTGCGGAAACAATCTGGTGGACTCACTCAGCCAGATTTGCCCAAGCGGAAAAAAAACAGAACTAATAACGTGATCAGCAGCTCGGTATCCTTTAATAAAGCCCAATTGCGAGGGACCCCTCTCCCAATATGGTTTTTCTGACGTGTGGCTTTGGCTTCCCCACCTCCCTGCCCCTTTTCTCCTTAGGAGCGCGCCTCAGCTCCCACCTTCAGCAGGGACTCGCCCACGTAGACATTTGGCATGTCTGGCACAGGCCTCGGCGCATCGCAACGAAAGACCTCCGGGACAACGAAAGACCTCCGGGACTCCGAGAGCCCAAGCGTCGGTTCAAGCCTTGAGCGTCTCTTTCTTTTCGATCGGTTCAAGCTCTTCAAGCTCAAGCCTTCGCCTTCTCATTCAAATAGCACATCTATATCAACCAACCCGACAAAGCATTTCATGACCGAGCAGTTCAACGCACCCGCTGTGGAGAACTGAACGGGCAAATCCTGGTTGGCAAAAGGCAGAGATTCCAGAACTTACATCAGCTCGCACATCAGCCATTCACTCCTCCACCCTTGACCACGTCGGATTCATGCACTCCTCAGAACAAATCAGACGTGTTCCCTTTCAAACACGACATTGATCGATCATGCGGGTTAATTCCGATTTCACATTGAGGAATCTACGAGAGACACTTCCTTCATTTGAGGACATACAAATCAAACACAACTCAAACTTCCACGACAACCTCAAGCAGAAAGTAAGTAGAAAGGCAGTTGTTCACCACATAGGTCCAGCTGAAAACGGGTCGACGTACAGCCCTTGCACAATCGCACGCAAGAAAATTGCAAAATGTGTTATTACCAACCTCCATCCACATGTCCGCGGCTGATTTGAAGACTTGAACTTCACATGGGTGCAGGCTTCCTGAATTCAAACTTTTTAAGCCTCTTGCAGTATGGTAGCAAATCGCAGTTGATATAGCTCCCCAGCCATATCCCAGGCCCAGAGACAGGTACAGGCTCCGGGCGAAAAACAACAAATGCCCCCACCAGCATAGGCAGGGGACAAACCCAAGGAGCCCCACCCACCCCAGGGAAAGATTCTTACGGTTGTTTGGCAGGGGTTCTTTGAAGGATTCGGGAGCGTAGGGTAATGTCTGTCCTCAAAAGGAAAGAAAGGCCCCTCAAACAGGTTCCTGACTCGATTCTACCATGGGATTTTTTTTCTTACCACTACTGTTCTCTTTGAGGTTTCTGGCGTAGATTCCTGCGCGTGTATGCCAATGCCACATGGGCAGTCAAATGCCTGACACCATTTGGACACCTCCTGAAACGGCAGAGGTGAGCAACGCAATTGCAGCACGGTTGTTGTCTGTGATATGTGTTGCCAACCCCATCGCCGCGGAAATACCAAGCAAAACTCATCTAGTAAAGAACAAGAAAGCTCTTGCCAAATGAAGGGATATTCACTCAAATCAGCCAGGGTGAGAAAACATCATGTGTAACATCGGGAATGTGCAACCAGGGGACGCTCTTTTGCTTTTGGATGGCTTTTAATTAAAAGGAAACCACAAGGAACTGACCACATTCTGGTGGTAATGCGGCAAAATTGACAATCTCGCGGGTGGCACGTGATTGAATCACCAATCGCTGAGTCTACAAGAGCCGGACCTTCTATTTGCGTGGACAAGCTGACCGGCTGATTTCGTGGACTGCTTGATCTTCTTGACACGCAAACAAATGGGCCGAAGAGACTTTTGAGTCCTTAGGTGCTGGTTCATTTTGCAAGTTTCAGCCACTTTCCTAGCCCTTGCAAGTTTGACGCTAGCGACTCGAATTGGTCGTCTTGAAGTGTCTAGAACTCTCCACCGGTCCCCCGGGTTGGGATGCGTGAAGGGTTGTGCCAACCTTTGCATTTCAAGTTTTCCAACAATCCACCATTTTGCAGTTTTTGCAAGAATCTTGCAGCACTGAGTGTTGGGCGTGCCGCAGGAGTAGGTGGGCACCGGGCTGCATCCCTGGCGACAAACCGCCATGGTTTGGGACGCCCACTTGAGTGGATTGGCAAATGAGCCCAGGTGATGTCGCCAAGAGCGTTCCTGGAACCTTCCAGATCCCTCTGAGCTGCTTTGGACTCCGGAGCTTACAGCTGGAAAAAAACCATGCTCAGCTAAAATGATTTAAAATGGTCTTCCCAGAAAGTATGAAGTCCAGCACCTCTTGTGTGTGCGGGTTGCTCTGGCCCGGCCCAGGGCGTGACCACAGCAACCACATTGTGATCCCCCCAAAACAACGGGAGCGCGAAGGAAAAAGGTTCTATCGCCGGCCGTGGCGCTTGGCGGATCTAGGCTTTACGTTTTTGTTCCAAGATTTCTGCCTTGCTAGAAGCCCACTTTGATGCTCAAGTGGGTGCTCGGGAGGGTCTTGTTCGGGCACGGCGGGGTCCGGCAGGACACCGAGGCTGGTCTTGTGAGACCCATCAAGTGTATCTGCAACAAAGTCGGCAACTTTGTCTTGAAATGGAAACGCGGTCGCGAAAGGAAGCCAGAAGTAGTGTTATAGAAGCCAAGAGGTTCCCAAGAACATATGGTGTGAGTTGGGCGCCAAAAGGTCATGTGGTGTCAGGGTTGGCGAGAACAGCCGGGAGGCTTCAGTGACAGCCGTGGCGAATGTGCGAATTTGCGTAGGGGGGCTCATGTTCCCCAAAGCAAGTCAGGTGGCTTTCAGCAGCACGCGTAGCTACTGGAGCATGAGTGCCCGTGAAGAACCGAAGGGTGGATATTCAGTGGGTCCGTGTATCATGTTCGCTTGGTTTTGCTCATCAATCGTCCAAGGGCTGGGATTTAGAACTGTCCATTCCTTCATCTGCTGCAGTCTCATGTGCCTTTCGGAAATAGTTGGTTCGAAAGCCGTGCCTTAAGAAGGCCCTGTGCTTACCCTAGTGCGGCACAAGTCTTTGATGTACAATAGGGCAGCTTGGAATGCTTCCTACCCTGAAAATCGTTTCGATGCAAGGGCTTACAGCCGACCTGTCCATGCTCAGTGCAAGCTTAGCAGCTGAACCGGCTAGAGAACTACATGTGACTCGACGCGATGTCTGACAAACAGGTGGGAACGCAACCGCGCCACGAAAATCGCTTCGCACGGAAATTGCCTTTTGTGTGCCATGAAATCCAAATGCAAGCCAACGTTGGGCAGTTGTCTTCGTGTCTCCAGCCCGATGCCTCTCCCGTTGCTGGGGGGGGGGGGCACGCTTCTTTTCCCATGCACGGCAACGATGGACTCCCAAAGTGTCAGGCGACCCGATGGACGCCACCGGCCTCAATGTTCTTCCTGTGAGTGGGAAGCAATGAGCCAGCAAAGCCCTGTCCATCTCTAGAAGCTTAGGAGATGCGCTGATTTAGGGCTTTACGAAAGGCCACTGAGCCATGACATATTGAACATGGCACATGTAGAAATACATATAACTATACAATAATTGTAACAATTAGACCTAAACAAGTTACACCAGATCTATTGCATTCGTACGCGCGTGATAACATTACATTACAGTGCATTGCATTACATTACATACATACATTGCATACCTACATCAATTACATTACATGACAGTACATTGCATTACATTACATACATTCCATTACATTACATTACATTACATTACGTTACGTTACGGTACGCTACATTACATTACAGTACATACACTGCATTACATTCCATTTCATGACATTCACTTATTCATACATACATTACATACATTACATGCATACTACATGCATACATGCATACATACATACTTGCAAACATGCATACATGCATACTTGCATACTTGCATACATGCAAACATGCAAACATGCATACATGCATACATGCACACATGCACACATGCATACATACATACACACAAACATACATACATTACATTACATTACAATACATTACATTACATTACATTACACTACATTACATTACATTACATTACATTACATAACATGCATACATTACATACATTACATACATAACATACATTACATACATTACATACAGTACATACATTACATACATTACATACATTATATACATTACATACATTACATACATACATACATACATACATACATACATACATACATACATTACATACATACATACATACATACATACATACATACATACATACATACATACATACATACATACATACATACATACATACATACATACATACATACATACATACATACATACATACATACATACATACATACATACATACATACATACATACATACATACATACATACATACATACATACATACATACATACATACATACATTACATACATACATACATACATACATACATACATACATACATACATACATACATTACATACATACATACATACATTACATTACATACATACATACATACATACATACATACATACATACATACATACATACATACATACATACATACATACATACATACATACATACATACATACATACATACATACATACATACATACATACATACATACATACATACATACATACATACATACATACATACATACATACATACATACATACATACATACATACATTACATTACATTACATTACATTACATTACATTACATTACATTACATACATTACATACATACATACATACATACATACATACACATACATACATACATACATACATACATACATACATACATACATACATACATACATACATACATACATACATACATACATACATTACATTAATTACATACATACATACATACATACATACATACATACATACATACATACATACATACATACATACATACATACATACATACATACATACATACATACATACATACATACATACATACATACATACATACATACATACATACATACATACATACATACATACATACATACATACATACATACATACATACATACATACATACATACATACATACATACATACATACATACATACATACATACATACATACATACATACATACATACATACATACATACATACATACATACATACATACATACATACATACATACATACATACATACATACATACATACATACATACATACATACATACATACATACATACATACATACATACATACATACATACATACATACATACATACATACATACATACATACATACATACATACATACATACATACATACATACATACATACATACATACATACATACATACATACATACATACATACATACATACATACATACATACATACATACATACATACATACATACATACATACATACATACATACATACATACATACATACATACATACATACATACATACATACATACATACATACATACATACATACATACATACATACATACATACATACATACATTACATACATTACATTACATACATACATACATACATACATACATACATTACATACATACATACATACATACATACATACATACATACATACATACATACATACATACATACATACATACAT